TTAGCTAACAGAAACCTGTGATTAACGGAATCAAAAGCTTTGCAAAAGTCTAAATAACAGACTTGCACAGTTTGCCTTTATCTAACCTCATATAAAAACACAGTAAATTAGATAGGCATGATCTACCCTTGGTAAACCCGTGCTGTTGGTCAGTAGCCAGTGAGTTGTGTAGTAAATGCTGTGGAATGTGCGTCCTCACTATCCGTCATAGGAACTTGCACAATATACTCGTTAGGCTCACCGACCTGTAATTCCTAATCTGGGATTGTGATCCTCCCTTGTGAATGGCAACAACAGCAGCTGTTTTCCAATCCATCGGTAGCTTGCCCTGGTCTAAACTGCCTTAGTAAAAATCCCTTAGCGGTCCCGCAACAATTTTCGCGATCGGCTTGACGATTACCGGGTGGATTCCATCGGGCCCTGGAGATTTACTTACGTTCAGCTCCGCTAATGTCCGATGAACCACGGCTTGACGATTACCGGGTGGATTCCATCGGGCCCTGGAGATTTACTTACGTTCAGCTCCGCTAATGTCCGATGAACCACTTCTAATGACATATACATATTCTCCACTTTCTCTAATGAGGGGGCGAGATCCGGTAGTGCCAGGTCGTCGCGATCTACTTCATGCACACTACTGAAGTATGTGCAAAAGGCGTCTACTTTTTTCTGGTCATCGGCGACGGTCCTACCTTCCAATTGTAGAGGTCCCATCATCTTTTTATTGGGATCCCTGGCTTTAGCGTAGCGGTAGTAGCGTCTGGGCTCCCTTTTGGATCGGCTGGCTAGTTTCAACTCCAAGTCCCTTTCACCCTTTCTAATGAGCGAAACTGCTTCGTTACAATGTCTCGTGTACTCTCTCCAAGCCATCTGGGAACCGGAAGCTCGGAAAGCTTTCCTGCTTCTATTTCTACGTTTAATTGTCTTACCTACAGCGGCGTGCCACCATAGCGGCTTCTTCCTTAAACCTTTGTAGGTTAAGAGAGCAAACTCATCTTGGAGGTTCATCAGGTTGTTTTTGATTATACTCCAGCTTTCCTCTACGTAAGCGTGCGGCTCCGAACTGTGCCAACTCAGTTGAGCTGCCTTAGCTCGAAGTAGATACACGTCAATCCTTCCAAAGTTCCTACACATCCCTTCACGGGGTTTGGGTAGTTTCAACTGAAGTGTCATCTTGATGAGAAGATGATGACTTTTGCCGATAGGAGGGTGATACTCTAGACTTTGTTCTTTTTCCTCTTGCGCTGTGATGATCAGGTCCAACAGCGACGGCTGTTGGCCTTCCCGATACTTGGTGTTTTCCTTCACGTGCTGATAAATTGCTCGGGATTGAATCCATTCGAGGTAGCTTTCGTCTGAACCTCGAGGACACCTCCCGAGCTCCCAGTCAACATACCTGAGATTGAAGTCACCCATAACGACCAGTCTGGTCGAATTTCGAGCTAAGTTGTCTGGTGCCTGGATAGTCCGTTGGTCCTCCGAATGTGTAACACTAGGACCCCTATACACGCAGGCGATGGATATGTTTCTCCTACTGCAACTAGCTGCACATTGAGAGTAGAAACCTTAGTATTCGATTCTACTGAGCATAAGTGGGTTCTTAGAAGCAGGGCTGCTCCTCCACCCTGTACAGAGCCACCCCTATCTGTAGGTAAAAATTTTATCTTGAACTATACTAGGGTTAGGATCACTCTCTGAGAGCCAGGTTTCTGCTATGCCTACAGCGGTAACCTTATGGGTCTCTGCTGCCATCAGAACCTCGGCCCACTTGTTTCTGACACTGCAAGTATTTGCATACAGCAGTGTCATCCTCTTCTGTCGATTTCCTATTTCGAATTTCTCCTCCGGCGAGGAACCCGAGGAGAACCCACGTTTTTTGAGGCCTCTACAACAACCTCCTCGCGTGGAGTTGCATATTTTACCGTACAATCCTGTCCCATGGAATATGACGCCCTCTTCAAGGCGTGCTAGTTGCACCGGTCGTGTCCCCGTGTCGGCCTACTGCATCACTTACCGCTGAAGATTGAAGGCAACTCTACAATTATTCTTCCAATATGTCCTCTAATATGACGACCGCCTTATTAGCTACGGGGTCAGATATTTATCCATTTCCCTTCGGGTTTTCGATCCTCTGATCATAAGCTCCTCATTGTTGAGAATGAGCACTGTTTTGTTGCAGTTTTTCGTCCTCTTGCCAGATAGAGCGTCTACCTCCCTGCTGAGGAGGTTCACTTTGTTTTGAAGATCCAGAACCGTGAGGTTTTGCTTCCTGTTCTGTAGTGGGGGGTTCTGCGCACTGGTCGACGCACAGACACCACCAGCCCTGAACTTCCTTGCCGGTTTCTCCGCTTTTGGCGTACCTATCTATACTGCTTTACACTCTGACTGTGGGCCTGTGATACTTCCTCCAACACTTCTCTGAGTGGTCACAGCTTTGGCATAGTTTTTCGGGGTAATGCTACGAGCTACGCTTCGTCCTGTGGCCTGCTGTTTATGTACCATTTGAGGAGTTTGCTCTTCGCCTACCGCCTTGGCACTGAAAGCCAGCGCCACTGCAGTCTTGCATATTTTACACATCCACTCCAAGTCAGGGTACTTGAAGAATAGACTGTACGTTTCCTGCTTGATTCCAGAACACTTTTGGTGTACCCAACGCTTACATATACCACATTCTCCCCCTCTAACCACTATTTTCTCACATACAATAGCCAAAAAAGGGAAGGCGAATTAGGCATATTAACACAGGAAAAGGAAAAGATATGCAAGGAAAACTTTGGGTATACTCTCGAAACGTTCGTAAATAAAGCAACTAGTGACACTTGTATCGGGATTTAGATGAAATCTTGAGAAAAATAACCAAAAAAGGGACTAAAACTTTCACTCAATCTATGCGGTTAGGAATTTAAAAAATAGTATCTTACTGATACTTCCTTCACACACGGGTTGTCAGTAAATTGTTATGAACAATTTATTGACCATACACACTGAAAATCGTTTTAATAATACAAAGCAGCGAGGAACACAACCGAATTCAAACGTACCGGCAAGGTTCAAGTACGCAGCCAGGTCAGGTCAGGTCAGGTGGCACAGTACGATAAAGGCTTTCGCCAACCGAGCGTCCAGATTCTTGCTCAAGCAGAAACCACGTTCTTCCGGAGCTTCGACTTGTCGACCGTTTGACCACAGCCGATTTCTTCGTTCGAAACAGCCTCCCTTATGGGGTCCGTATCTGCAATGAGAAGTTATTCGAGAATAGGCAGCATGAAACAGCTCACTTTAGTTCAGTTCAGTTCAGTTCTCACAGAAGTGGCTCTTGCCAATCGAGCGTCCAGATTTGTGTGTTGTCGGCGAGTTTCCTTGGCTTCCAACACTTAGATATGCAATTTTTCTGAAAGGCACAAATATGTGGTGCAGTATCACATCCCTGGTGGCTAGGTTCTAGATGGTACTAAACGCTTACCTCTGGGAAAACAGCTATTCAACACTCATCAAGTGCCTTTTTAAAAGCATTCACAGTACTGCAGCTTACCACTGACAGCGGCAACCGGTTCCACAACGGAATTACCCTGTTAGTGAAAAACGTTGCTCTCAGTTGTGGCCTAGAGTGGCTTCTCTGCAAACGTAAGTAATGTCCCCGCGTGCCTCTATGCTACTCTCAATAGTAGGCACTCTATCAAATCTCGGGATAGAGGCCGATCCAGACCCCATTTAGTTGCCTTTTGAACTCTTCAAATGTCCTACAGTCTAGCAGTGAAGATGGTAGTTGACTCCACTCATCTATCGATCTACTTGTGAACAAGTTGTATCTAAGGTTGAGTCGGCTTCCGGGCTTCATTAGCTTCAGATGATGCATCCTTGTCGAGCGGTGCTCAGGTAAACAGGCTGTCCGCCTCTAGCCCAGTCAGCCCTTTCATTATTTTGAAGGTCTCGGGTTCCAGGTCAGGTCAGTCATTCAGTCAGTATGCACAGGACAGGAGGTGGCCACGGTCAATCAAGCGTCCAGAGTTCCTTCGGTAGTAAGCCACCTGTTGGTCCCTACCACTGCGAGTGTTCTATATTGTAATTATGCTCGTTTTCTTCTCATACCAATCGTTTCCGCCTCTGCAAGGGAAGAGAAAAGAAAAATATCTTCTCCCCTTGCTCAGGCGAGAGACCTCACTTTTGGAAGCGCTCCCCTATTTGGGGTGGTTAGTAAATGAGAAAACCTATAACTTCTACCAGACCTTAAACTATGCGTCTACTTCAGGAAATAAGTTCAACCAGCGCTTATCAAGCTCCTTCTTGAAATCATGTACGCCTCCTAGCTCCACCAGCTCTTGTGGTAATCTATTCCATGAGTTGACTACTCTGTTGCTGAAGAAGTTTGAACGCACCGCTAGTCTCGTGCGCACTTTTATCAGCTTATGCATGTGCTCCTTAGTATTGCTTTCCCTCCTCTCGAAGAACACTGCTTGATCCGTCCCTGATAGGCCATTCATAATTTTGAATATCTCTATCAAGTCACCTCTGAGTCTTCTTCTTTCCAAGGAGAAGAATCCAAGATCCGGCAGTCTCTGCTTATTCGACTTCCCTCGCTATCCTTCGATCATCCTAGTGGCTAATCGTTGGACCCCCTCGAGACTAGCGGCGTCCTTTTTTAAGAAGGGAGCCCAGGCTTGCATACAATACTCTACATGCGGTCGAACAATGAACTTGTATAAAGGTAAGAATTCCTCCGGTTTTCTACAAGTTAGTGCCGACCTCCATCTAAAAATCTCTCAACGGGCACCGTGAGCCGCTACGGCACACTGTGCTGCCCATTTATAGTCTGCTGTCATCATGATTCCTAAATCTCTAGCTTTCTGGGTCGTTCCTAGTGAAAGACCGTCATGACTACTCCCTACTATCAGCTCCTCGTCTCCGGTGGTTAAGACATGATTCTTTCCTATGTTGAGAGGCACATCCCATGTAATCGACCACTTCAGCACGTCTCCTATATCCCTCCCTAATTCCTCTCTCCCATTTGATCCTACCACCTTGACGTCGTCCGCAAATATATAGCTAGGCGAGACAAGGCGTTCAGGCAGATCATTGATGTAGAGCAAGAATAGGAGTGGACCTAGAACTGATCCCTGAGGAACACCACGCAACCGTTTCCATTGGCGAGTCTGCTCTCCTACCTCAACCACGAAGATCCTTTCGACCAGGAAAGCTGTTAGCCACTTGTGGATGTTACCCTTTATCCCTAGAGCATGTACATTGGCCAAAAGTAAGCGATGACATACTGAGTCAAATGCTTTGCTAAAGTCCAGATGGCATACTTCCATTTGCCTACGCTCGTCTAATCTCGCTGTGACTTCATCTAAAAAGTGCGAGAGATTGCTCAGACAGAATGTTTCCTTCATAAACCCATGCTCTCCCGCAATCAGCAACCGGTTCTGAGTGAGGTATTCGCATAAGTGAGTTCTGATAATTCGCTCTAGCGCTTTGCACAAGATGCTTGTGAGACTAACTGGACGATAGTTTTCTACCTTGTGCCTCGGCCCTTCATTGTGTATGGCGACCACAGTTTCCGTTTTCCAGTCCTGTGGTATCCCGCCCTGTTCTAGAATTTTGTTGAACAGGTAGCCTAGTGGGCCCCCCTAGAACCTCAACGGTGTGTTTAACCAAGGCTGAGCGGATGCCATCTGGTCCGGTGGATTTGGTGGCGTTAAACTCACCAAGAGTCCTGCGCACCTGCTCCAGCCTCACGTGTAATTCGGGGATATCAGGTCCATCAGTGCGGAGGTCAGGTTGTGCAATGACGATTTGATCTATCCTGTGTACGCCTCTGAAGTATTCCTTAAATCGCACTGCTATATCCATCTCTCGGGTTAATACTTCTCCATCGTCCAATATCAGAGGCCCTACCTTTTCACTGAGCCCTCCCTTAGATTGGACATAACGAAAGTACCTCTTTGGCTGGTATTTGTCACAATTGGTCAACTTGAGCTCATATTGCCGTTTGAACTCTCGTTAAATTGCCACTGCCTCGTTTCCATCCCTGGTGTACTTTACCCAGGATCGGTGGCTGCCCGTTGACCTATAAGTGTGCCAGCTCTTATTTCTACGCTGTATCGCTCTCCTAATCTCTGGGCTCCACCAGAGTGGTTTTTTCTTTGCTGCCCTGGGGTTTAGGGGAGCGAATTTATCCTGCAGAAGTAAGCGATTTGCCTCGATCCGGCCCCAATGCTGGTCGAGAGAGTTGTTTTCTTGGATAGGAGCCCATATCAGCTCCACAGCTCGGCATTCAGCTTTGTCGCATGTATCGTCCCGTAGTTCCTGGACATCCTAACATTACTCCTAACATGCATGATACCAATTGCTGTGGTGAGAACGACGTGGTCGCTTTTACCCAGCTTTGGATAAAGGGTGATGTTTATCAAATCCCTCTCCCT